ATTCTGCGCAAAATGTGAAATGTTTGTTATCCTTACCTCTGGGACACAAGTAGCATCTACGTCTTACAACTGGCCTTTCTGTTTTGGTCTGATCTTGATGAGTAATTTATTTTCTGATGCTTTGGAAATTATCGAACGTAATTCTCTTGACAAATTTGGCATTGCAAATCTTACTTTTAAATGTTCATTTATAAGACTGATTCCCAGCTTTTGAATAAAATCCGATCGATTTTTTCTAACCCCAGGATTAGCTGCGTGAAAAATAATGTGACTGTTTACTATAGCAATATCCATTATGGAATACCAAATTACTAAAGGCCATCGCTGGCATCTTCGACCTGAACGATAAAGTGCGCATTTGATCAAGTGCATCAACGTCCCCTTTCGACGAATTGTAGAAAGCCATTACATCAGGTTTTTTGCTTTCCTGGTCAACAGATTTGTCGTGATGCATAGACGACAACATAATTACACTTTTATTTTTTTTTTAGGGACATATGATACGATTGTATTGTCTCGTGTAAAACCAAATAAATACTTATAAACTTAGATACGAAACATTTAAATAAATAGGACCCGGCTGCAAGTCGATATCCATTGGCCTTCTTTTGCTCTCTTATTTCATGATTGTCAAATCTTATTGCTGTGAGAAGAAATAAGAAGCGTTCTTTTGATATTGTAGCACGAAAAATTGGCCTACCTAAAACACTTGTCGAAAATAATGGTATAAAAGACCCAAAAAAGCCTTAAGTTCACCTTCGTTTAGATTATCAACAAATGTACGTGTATCCCCATAATTAACACTGAGCTCGGTAATTTTTTCATTTGTGTACTCTTGAATAAAGGCCAACATGTCAGGAGTTATTAGAAGTGACCAGGATTCAAGTGGACTGGATAGTTTTGTTTCTAAGGCAGGTCCACGAAGACCAGGAAGGTCTGTAATAATGTTCTGTGCGCGAATTTTTGATGGAGCCGGAGCATTTTTAGCCCACTTATATCTGTTCCGTCCATAGTAAAAATTTGTTTCATTATTAGATGCTGTTTCACATTCGTCGCTTGATAAGTCACTTACGTCAATTTCTGAATCTGTGTCGTGAACCGAATGTTCACTTTCAGTGTCAGTATCACTGTTATTAGAGTCACTATAAGTGTCAATATTTTCGGTTGGTTCCTCCAGAGATTCGAGAAAGTCAAAAACATTTTTACTTGTCACCGTACTTCCGCTATTTCCTAAAGCCATTTTAATGTACTATTTTAAATAATAATAACGTAACTACTATGGTGGGGTCAAATCCGACCGGAACTCAGCAGCACGTGTGCACTATCCCACTGATCGTTTGCTACTAAGCGGCATGCTAAACTACGTACTTAATTGGGAGAATACATAGAATAACAAGGTCGTTCGCCAAACTGTCTACCAGTGGCGCACGAAATTTCAAGTCCTGGGGTCAAATTTGTTAAATATAAATTTAAATGCTGATTCACCCTATCTTAAGTCAGCATAGTCCATTCGGACTATGTCACACATAGTCCATAATATTTATTTTTTAATAAAACACCCTGTATATTTTTATATTTTTAAAATTTTAAAAACTCCTTAACAACCTGATCCTAACAAACTGTTAAAGATTAGTGAGGTTACGGTCAAAAGTCAAAATTTACTGTAAAATCAACTTCATGATTTTAGTAACAGTTATCCAAGAGATACTCTGGCAAGATACAATTATTACCAGCATTTTCGACAATTTACCTTTTTACACAAATCGTCTATTTGTCAAGTAGATTCTTGAAAGGAAAGCCAGATAGCTCAAACAGTAGAATAGGCACTCTAGTGCCACACTAAAATCAGAGATATAGAGGGCCTGAATAAAATGAGTTCGTTGCGAATACTCTGCAATACAGGGGTGGACTAACAGTAGTTTCGGAAATCATTTAGGGAATTTAAATTAATAAAATATTTTTTACCTAAAAGAATGAAGAAGTAATTTTTAAGTTTAGTGCAGCAAAGTGGATTAACATTTATAAAATATTTATTCCTTGCTGAAGCAAGATGACCACAGCAATAACTAGAAAGGACAAAAGAATCCGCATGACCAAAAATCGCTAGAATAAAGATCGGTAGAAAGATATAAATGTTTTTCTACATAAGATAACTACTAGATATCTTGGAGTATTGATGTACAAAAGATTAGCGAATATTTGTTAAAAAAGTACAACTAAAGATCGGTTAACTAACAAATACTTTTTAAGAACGCTACTGTCATATTATTTCCAACAAACTTATCAAAAAATATATCAACGTATATTGTCTCATCTACAGGTATTTACTTGTCGCATGCAGGATAATTTGGCAAGATATGTGATCATGGCCTAGAATAAAAAAAAGTATTTTTAATACTAACAATAGTTACAAAATTGTAGATAGCTAGTGATAATATTGTTATGATCTATCACTTTACAATCACTTTTTTTATTTTAAATGCACTTGACACACAGACCTTCAAATATGTTTGATAAACTGAATAGATATTTGAAAACAAAAAATTCACGGGTACTATACACGCTTAAGAAAGATAAAAAATTAAAGACAAATGTATTTGTAAAGTTGTTTCGTCATAGAGTTCTATATTATCCAAAAAAAAAATTAGCTGAATAGTCCAGTTGGGTTAGACGAAAAAAAGTCCTAACCTTGCATGGTGAGCTGCCTTAAATTTTATTATGCAACCATTGCGTTGGCCGCCATCTTGAATTTAAAAATGAAAAAATACAACCGTCTTTGCTCAATACCTCCATTTTCAGCTTTTAGGCAAAAAGGGCACGGACTGAAATTGTTGCAAATGCAATTTTATACAATTTATTTTTTGTTTTAATTTTTTTATGCGGTCGATATTTTGCGAGTTAAGTGAGAAATAGTGGAAGGGGGGCATAATGTATTTATGGAGAAATTATGCTGTTTATTATTAACCTCATGACATAAAATAATGTTTCCACATTAACAAACATGAAGGGAATTATACATTATACAATTTTGATTTCTGTTATTTTTTGAATTACAATCAACATTTAACGTTCTAAGCCTAACGAACCGTACACGGTGACGTGATCAGCAGCAAGCCATAAACAGGAATGAACTACGACCTTAAATATTTACTTTAGCAAAAAAATTTAAGAAATTAAAAATATATAAAATATATAATTTTGCTCTTTATTTTTGCTTATCTACATTTATAGTGTCGTAAAGTTAATATGTAACGAGATAATTTAATAATTATGCCCCCTCCTTTCACCATGTTCCTCTTAACTCGAAAAATAACCACCGCATGAAAAAATTTGTAAAAAAAATGAATTGTACGAAATCGCATTTGCAATCATTTCAGTCCTTACAGTTTTTTAAAGTTGAAAATGACGAAGATATTGAGCAAAAACGATGTTCCTTTAAACTCAAGATGGTGGCTGACGCACCGGCGTAATTCAGTTGTGATTTTAAATTAACACTACTCTTGACCCCTCCTAAAGCTTCTTATTTTTCTTATTGTCTTCTCTATTTCTTATTGTCTATTCTTATCATCTCACGATGGTTGAAAATCTCTTCTTTAAATGCTCCAATATCTTTTATAACGTAAAACATTTGTTCCAATATCTGATATTCTCCAGCCAAGATTTCTACTTTCTTTTTAAGCTTTATTCCCTCTACTCTTTCTTGTATGATAACGTGCAGAAGAGAGTATTTATCCTTTCGAAGTATGTGGCCCAGTTACGATGTTTATCTTATTTTAATTGTGTTCATAAGCTCTCTGTCATGTATTTGTAAATCTTCTATATTTTCTGCCATTAATTCTGTATCGTCTGCAAATCTTAGGTTATTAATAATGCTCCCTCCAATCCTTATACCTTTAGTACTTTTAAATAATTAGGGTGACAGCACACATCCCTGTCTAAGTCCTCATTGAATTTCTACTTGGTTTGTCTCACTATCTTCCCCCTTACGACCGCTGTTTGATTATCCATTATCTGTAAATAAGTTTTTGATGTATTCCTCCCAAGTTTACTGTTTTTCTTCTAATAATTGAAGATCTCCATCTTCATCTCCTAAAGGTTAGAATAATAAAATTTGGGGCAGCTCGCCAAATACTATCTCTACTGTACCATAAAAACTTTATTATTATTGGTCCGGTATTCCGGTTTCTGATGAGGGCTGAATACCTTGAAACACGTGTAGAACCTTAATACAATCATAAGATCATTCAGAATTTCAAGAAAAAATAGAGTGAAAATGATAATATTAAAGAAATTATGCGTATTTAAGATACCATTATCGATAATATCGAGTAAAAAAATGATATGTTACGGACACATACAACGTATGTCAAAAACAAGCTTTCCAAGAAGCAAATAATTAACTGTTAACCGACAGAACGTCCAATAAGAGAAAGGCAAGAGATTAAATAGGAAACAGGACGAGACGAAAGACATAAGTGTCAGTAACCTGCAAGAATTCGTCTAGTAAGACAGAAAAAAATTAAGGCAAGGCGTCAGACAACTTGGAAAACAATTCTAAACCGAAACATGTTGTGAGAGGACATACCGGCAACTTGGAGAAAGATAACCAACTCTTAACTAACTAAAAGATAAAGTCTTGTTTCAAACGTTATGAGGAGTTTCCACCGTTAAGGTGGAACACATATTAGTTTCGTTCTGGTATTCAGGATCTTTACATAAACTACTCTATGGCTGATGTCAATGGCATTTTTTACCTTTTATATGCATTACCTTATCTAAGAGTGTTACAAAAAAATCATCAAGAAAGCTACTATAAAATCTATACTTTATATTTATAATATACCCTCATATCTGCAATATTTGTTAAAATGATGTTCAAAGGTTATTTTGGAAAACACATTTTAGTTATTTGTTCTTTGTTTTTTAAATTTTTACCAAGTTTGGGAAAACCACTGTGGCTGTCAACTTAGCCACAATTATCTTTTTTTTTTAATTTTTAGATGCTTACCTATCTTCGTATTGGAACAAACATACTAGTTGGATTGATGTTGGGTAGTCTCTATTGGAAAGCTGGAAGTGACGGATCTAAAGTTTTGGATAATTTTAATTTGTTGTTTGCGATATTATTGCACCATATGATGTCCACAATGATGTTAACCATTTTGACATGTAAGTAATAGTTACATTAGTAGTAATATATTAGGATAGTTTACATTTTGACGAAATGCCCCTGAAGATGCTATTTTAAGCGAAAGTACTTGGGCTAGATTTAATTAACTTGTGCTCGATAATAGCCTTATTTTCAAAGTTCATTTATTCGAGCATTCAACCTCATTTCAATTAATAAATGTAAGTAATTATTGCCAATCCATCTTTCGCTTTTTTAAAGATAACATTTGGTATTTTCTAAACCAGCAAACGTTGAAGACGTGGTTTTTTTAAACTCTTCACGAAAAATAATTATATTTTTAAATACAGCACCTATCGACTTGCAACTTTTTCAATTACTTTCGGAAATAACGTCAGAAAAAAGTATACAATATAAAAATTGGTGGACATGCACAATTACATTTATAGTGCATAAAATGCATCCAAAAGTGCATGCAATTTTTACCCTATCAAGTTTTATGAAAACATGTTCAAATCAATATATTTTAAGGCCCAAATTTTGTTTCTCGAGTTTTTGGGGTCAATAAACAAGAATATGCCATCATAACCGATCTCCGGAGCACCTGGTACCGACGTTTACTGCTAAGACACATCATATTCTAAAGTTTCGAGGGTTTTTGGATAGAAATTGATGCAAACAGATTACTCGGAGGTTTTTTGGGATTGCTGAGCACGGATATGACCGATTCTCGAAGCCCCTAGTGCCCAGGGTGACTGCTATGAACGTCATCTGGAATTTCGAGGCTCTTCGAGACTAAATTAATGCAGAGTACTCGGGGGTTTTCGGGATTGCTGAGTACGGTTATAACGTACGCTTTTGGAGTATCTGGTAGCCATGGGGATAATCGTTGATGTTAATCTAAAAGATATACAATATCAATACCAATAAGCTGCCTTGGTCAGCCCAATCTAATCTCCCAACCTGAATTCCATCGAACATGTATGAGACATACTTCAACGAATAATTACTCCACATGTGAGTATCATATATACGCCGTTTCTTTTCCGAGGGCATCTGATAGAAGAATGGGCAAACGTACTTTAACAGGATATCGACAATCACATTTTGTCTATGAACGACAGATGTAGAGCCATAATAAACCAGGGTGGATGGCATACTTTGTATTAATTTTGTTTTTTTACTAATTAATTATTTATTAACACAACTTAAGAAGAAAGTAAATTAATATTTATTTTACATGCGTATAAAAAGCGTAGGCCTTTTTCTCGTATATATTATGATTATTTTTCTTTTTATAGTTCCCCAAGAAATGTCGATTTTAATAAAAGAACACTTCAACCGCTGGTATTCATTAAAAATGTATTACACATCGGTAACCATAGTGGATATTCCTGTTTCTGTAAGTATTTTCATTAAAAACAATTTTGTTTTCTTCAAATATGTTACTATCTCTAGTCTTAAGAGGATCATACTAAAATATTGTAGTTACGCAAATGATTGAAAAGAAAAATACTGGCTATTTATTGCTTAAACAACTTTCTAAAAAAACGAACGATTTACTTATCTTATTCTATTGTTAAATGTTCTAGGTTATTGGCTGCTTCCTATTTTCAGTCATAATATACTATATGACAGATCAACCAAACGATAAAGCCAGATTCTTGATATTCTTCGCCACTTGCATGTTGGTAGTTCTAGTAGCTCAAGGAGTTGGTCTAACTATTGGTGCATATTTTGATGTTGTGGTAAGTAGTACCAATCTATTTTAAAATGGGAAAGTTTTTATGATTTATGCCACCATTGTTTTTATATATAAAAAACAATCAGTTCTGAGAAATTGAACTAGCTGCCTTGTTTAATAAAGCTATTTATAGTGATCACACTACCGAAAAAAATGAAAATAAGCATACGTCAGAACTATGTAGAATTTCCTATATGCTCACACATAAACAGATGCACAAATAAAAATACACATGCACATTTACCTGCTCAATAGGCAAATCAGCATACAGTCGCAACATAACTTAATCTAATGCGGTAATAGCTCTGCTGCAACTACTGCGTTCCTTAATCCCAAGGGGTGAACATCGTGGCCAGAGCATGCAGGGGAAAAGTGTCGACTTGAAGGTCCCTCAGAGAGCTAGCGAACTCTAGATGATTATTGCATTGGCACGATAAGGGCGCAGTATCATGTATGATAGTATTTTGGGGAAACAAAATCGACAAGGAGGCAAATACAGGTGGTCCAGAATACAAACAAAAATATAAAGGGAATGAGCTACAGTCTGGTGGCGAACTCTAGCCTTCGCCATAAATAGGTCTGAATACATACTAAGCGAACTTGCTGTTTTTATTTTAATGTTCACAGTAATGATAACGGTGACCAATGGAAAGGTCGATGTTGAATACATCACTCAGTGTTTCAAATCAAACAGTTATGAGAAAGACTGGTTTTACGGAGGCGGTTAAAAGAATTACAACATGGAACTGGGTATGCCATTTTGCCAGAGTCCGATATGGAGGATATGCCAAGAAAATGTTAGAATAGAGACCCAGAAATGAAACTTATTGTAATCAAGAATGTTCTCCATCAAGATAGTCGGACGACATCAAACGCATACAGGACAAATGTATGGAAGATCCTCAAAATCGGAAGCAATGGAATCATATACTGGAGGCCGATGTTCAGCAGTGGACTCAATATGGTTACTAATGATTGTTATGATGATAGAGGATATGGATGCAATATTTGATGTCATGCGCAAATAAATAACTTTATATAATCAAACCGAAATTTAGACACAGGCCTAAATGTATTATTTTTATTACTGTTAACGTTATTAATTAATGTTTTTTTCGGTCTCTTCAGTTCCGCACGGTCTTCGTATGTACATAAAAGCTGAATTATCAAATAAAATGTAATTTCTCAAAAATGATATTATTTCCATCAGGAACTGGTAAACAAATCCATGGAAAAGTAGAATTCATATTATAGATATATTTTAATAAATAATCGTTTAAAAAGGTCTAAAATTAACATGATTATAACTCAAAGTAATTACTCTAATAATACTATGCTAAAAATTTAATATTCTACAATAATATTTATAATATTTTCAGAACGGAACTTTTGTTGGACCAACCCTAATGGTACCCATGATGATGTTCTCCGGTTTTGGCGTCCGTCTGTGTGATCTGCCGACCATAATGTACTACGGCAGTTTTACTTCTTACCTAAGGTACGGCTTGGAAGGAGTAGTCCAAGCGGTATACGGAATGGACAGGGGTATTCTCCAATGTCCCGAAGACAAATTTTGCTTCTACAAGTATCCGAAGACCTTCCTGGAAATTGTGGATGTCAGGTCGGATCAGTTCGATAATGATATGATTGCTTTACTGCTTTTCTTGTTTGTTTTGAGAATTTCGGCGTACGTAGTGCTGAGGTACAAACTAGCATCTGTACGATAGGGCCTGTTTATGTTTTAATAACTTTTATTAGTAGTAAGTGATTGAAGCCTTGGTTTTGGTAAAAAGTGTTGCTAGGAGGGCATTTATTTTCACATGCCACTACAAAAATTGTATATATAAATATATATATATATATATAATATATATATATAATATGGGTGGAAATATTTTTTAATTTTTACTCTAAAAGAATTTCCTTTACTTAAAAAATGTATCACATCATCGCTCAAACATCATTGTTGTCTAAAAATCATGAACTCTCATATAATTTTGGTAGTAGTGCAGTTAAAAGCTAAATAAGAAATACGATTTCATACTTACGTTGAGATATTATCAGTTATGGTATTATATGGTAAAAGTTGAACAAAAGCTTCCTAGAACTATAAAAGAATATCTTTTCTATTCGCTCTCCATATCAGTTTAAAAGAATGTTACAGAAGTATGAAGAGTATGTCATATAAATTTCCAACAAAAATCTAGTCATTTTAAGCAATTAGGTAAATATATGTTTTGGCATTTCTCTGATTTTCGATTGTTGTTATGGTTAGTTGTAATTCTCACTGCCTTGTGTATAAAACATAGCTTATAACATTTTTTATAAGAAGTTACCATACGACAAAAGACAGGCTACGTCTGTAGATATTTTTTATAGTGCCTAATACTTTTAACAATTATTATCCTTTTAAGATAGGTTGTCTTGCGCTAAACAGTGTCAAGTCTTTATTCTTAAATATACGAATAATATGTTTCAATTAAGTAATTTTTTAAACCTTGCTGTGATATTTTATTACCAATTTCTTGTTCATATAGCATCATGATACTAAAAGTAGAAATGCGCTTGGCTATTTATTATTTAATATTAAATATATTCTTTTGTCACTAACAATTGACGTTAGTGCCACTAGTAAAATCACCACGAAACGTACACATATACACTCAGGTGCAAAAAAATCGATCCATGGGTATTATTTGCTGAAAAAAGAAAACGTTTGAAGATATTAGTTTTAAATTAGGTATATATGTAAAAGTATACGTTAGATTAAAATAATTTTTACAGATGATCCAAAAAAATCATTTATTTATAGACATACGCCAAAACTCAAAACTACAAGAATATTGAAAACTTTCTGAAATTTAGAAAAACATTGATAATAAATCAATATCTAGTGATTCGCCCTCGGGTCCTTATAACATCCTGTACACGTCTAGGCATTGAAGTAATTAATCTCTGGATATCAAATTGATCCAATTGGTCCCATATTTCTTGAAGAGCCGCTCTAAGTTCATCCAAGTTGTTTGGACGGAGTACTCGTGCTCGAAGACGTCTTCCCATCATATCCCATAGATGTTCTATGGGATTGAGATCGGGACTGCAAGCTGGCCAGTTCATACGGACAATTTCCTACCTCCCTATATATTATAATAAATCCGTAAAAATGAAATTAGGTCCAATGAAAGGAGCAAAAGGTACCTCACGCTGATCTAAAATACCTGTTATGTATCGTGCAGCAGTCGTAGAACCTCTATCTACAATAACTAGATCAGTATGGGCTTCTGAACTGATACCAGCCCAAACTATAACGGAGCAACCCGATAACTTATTCTTTCCTCAATATTACATTGAAAATATAGCGATATTTTCCGTGCCTTCTCCAAACCCTTTCTCGGTCGTCTGGTGACCTTAAACAAAATCTGTACTCATCTGAGAACAATACATTGCTCCAATCTGCATCCCTCCAGCTTTCATGTTCTCTTGCAAAAGCAAGGCGACCTCTGCGATGTTCTATGGATAGTATTGGAGATAGGGCTAGCCTTCTGGGTAATAAATTACCTTCTACAAGTCGTCGACGAACTGTCTATCTGCTTACATCCACATTTCTCACTTCGCTCAGACGATTTGCCAGTTCAACTGAAGTTAGATGCCGATTTCTCAAACATGATGAGACCAGAACTCGATTCTCTTTCGGATGTTACCCTTCTACGACCTGACCCTGGCCTTCTTGTAAAGTTACCGCCCTTGCAGCATCTGTCGGATTTAGAGACATTTAGGAAGGATAATTAAATAAAAATATAACACGTTTTGAAAATAAAATCACTACACTAGTATGGTTGTTGAATTAAAAACAACATTCAATAAATATCTACTTGCTTCAGACTCTTTTTGACAAAAACCTGAAATACCAATTTGTTTTAAGAAATTTAAAAAGCAGTAATAAAAATATTATTTTATTTCTTATACTAGGGGACATATACTAAATTTATATACGTAATTTAATCTCTCTAAAATTATACAACTTCAAATAAATAAGAAATAAGGAATGGATCGATTTTTTTCACCTGAGTGTATTTCACCATTTACCTAGATCATGATGATTCATCATCGATATAATATAATCAAGATGGAACCTATGGACATACTTGCGTCCAAAGTAGCAAGTAACAATGGTCGATCTTGTTTCTGGAATGTCAGTGTATGAAAATAATTCTTTTAGTACATATGTACAATAATTATTTAGTTTCGTTGTTATTTACATTTGAATAAAATATATAATCACGTGTTATATTGTAAAATTAAAAAATTATTATTTTTATAAGATAAACAACATATAAAACAACTATAATTTACAAGTAGGTACGTGTTGCGCATCGCACGCCACTGATTTAATAAAAAATAATAAAAATTTAAGGAATTTATTCACCAAAAATAATACATACATTCAGTTATTAACTTAAACACATAATGTTACCTGCAACCAACATTAAAATATCGGGAAATAATTAATCACCTGTCAAATTCACGTCAGACATTATAGCATCAATGTGACGTCAGTACCGTCGTCTATCAGCTACACGTAAAAATATCAATAGGCTCTATTCTTAGTATATTATATCAATGTAGTTCATTTCTTATTAATATTATAAATAGAGCAATATAAGTAAACACAATTGCCTATATTAAGTTAAATAAAAAATATGTTATATATTTATTCGGTATGTCTGTTTAGAGACGCAAGTCTTAGTAATTACGTGTAAAAAAACAAGTAAGTAGGTATAAATAGTTTTAAGATTCGTTTTGTACTATATATAAGTAGACTTAGGCAATGGATTGTTATATATTTATGTTTAAAGAAATATAAGCTGTTTGACTATATATATATATATATATATATATATATATATATATATATATATATATATATATATATATATATAATAAGTAATTAATTGGTACTTTTAATATTTTTGTGTCTGGTATCATAATCCCAATTTATTTTCTTAATTATGGTGTTATTACTAGAAATTTTGGAATGGTCCAGCAATGCAATTATTGTGATGTTATATAATAAATATAAATAAAATGCTAACAGTTTAAGTCTTTTAATACTTCCATTCTTCTTCTTCAAGTTCCACTCCTATCGGAGATTGGAAATCATTCTGGCAATTATAATTTTATTGGTTACTCGCCTGAATAGTTCAATTGAACTGCATCCAAACCACTCACGGAGATTGCGTAGCCACGAGATTTTACGTCTTCTACGCTTCTTCTACCTTTGATTTTACCCTGCATTATATTTCTTAGTAGTTCGTACTTTTCACCTCTCATGATGTGCCCCAAGTATTCCAATTTCCTGATCTTTATGGAATTTAAAACTTCGCATTGTTTTCCTAGTTGTTCGAGAACTTTGTTTGTGCGATCCATCCATGATATTTTCAAAATGCGTCGGTAACACCACATTTCGAATGCTTCTAGGTTTTTAATGTTGGATTTTTTAAGTGTCCAAGCTTCAACTCCATACAAAAGGGTAGAGAAAATATAACATCGTAGCATTCTTATCCGGAGCGATATATTGATATCGCGATTACAAAAAAGTTTTCTCATTCTATTAAACGTTGACCGCGCAATTTCAATGCGGCATCTTATTTCTTTTGTCTGATCAGTATCTTCTGTGATCTATGCTCCAAGGTATTTGTACGAAGATATTTGTTCAATTTCTGTATTATCTAGTACTAGCTTAACTTTGATGTTTTGTGCTTTTGTAAATACCATGAACTTGGTTTTCTTCAAATTGATTTTTAGTCCATAATCGTTGCAATATATATTTAGTTGTTCACCAAGGTGTTGCAGTTCTTCTAGTGTTCCTGCCAAAAGGACAGTGTCGTCAGCATATCTTATGATATTAAGTGGCTCACCGTTTATTATAAGGCCCTCACTGATCTCGGCAAGCGCTAATTCTGAGATGGCTTCACTGTATAAATTGAATAACAAGGGTGATAAAATACACCCTTAGCGGACCCCACGGCGAATCTGGATATCCTTGGTCAGTTCGTTTTCAACTTTCACTTTTGCTGTTTGATTCCAATAGAGGTTACAGATGATTCTAATGTCTCTACTGTCTATGTTTTTATTTATTAAAATTTCTTTAAGTCGATTATGCTGCACTCTGTCAAATGCCTTCTCAAAATCAATGAAACAGGCATATACTTCCTGATTAATATCTAAGCATCTCTGCGAAAGAACACTTACTGCAAACAGTACATCTCGTGTTCCCAGTCCTTTATTAAATCCCATTTGTGTATTACTTATGCCTTCATCTAATTTCTTATGTATTCTATTGTGAATTACTTTTAAAAACAATTTCAAGACATGACTCATTAAGGCTATGGTGCGATGTTCATTGCACTCCTTTGCATTGGCTTTTTTGGGAAGCAGTATGAATGTTGATTGGAGCCATTCTTTAGGTATTATACCTGTTCTATATATGGTATTAAATAGATCCAAAAGAAGATCAATAGATTCAGTATTCACAATTTTAAGTAATTCGATAAGAACTTCATCAGGCCCGGGAGATTTACCATCTTTAGTTTGTTTCATTGCGTATTCAATTTCTTCTCGTATAATGTCAGGCCCAGTATCATCCTTAAATTCTTTTGGTGCTTCTGTTCTCTCTTTGTCTTCAAATAGTTGTGCTATATATTGTGTCCATCTCTGCATTTTTTGGTTTATATCTGTTATAAGTGCACCTCTTTCATCTCTTAGTTGCCTAGTTTGAAGTGTTTTTCTCATTCCTGTTAATTCTCTAATTCTTTTATGCATGTTAAAAAAGTCATATTTTTTCTCAATTTCTTCTAGTTCTTGGCACTGCTCATGTAACATTCTCTCCTTAGCTTCTTTTATTCTCTTTTTTATTAATCGATCAGTTTCATTATATTTAATTGGATTTTTTGTTTTGAATGATTTTCTTTCATTCATTAATAGTAGTATTTCTTCAGTCATCCAATCTTTATGTTTTCTATTCTTTGGTTTTAAGTTTTCATTTGCTGTTTTAATTATTGCTGCTTTTATATTTTCCCATTTCTGATCAATGTTATAGCTACTTTTATTCAGTTATTGGGTATTACGTATATTTTCAGTAAGAGTTTTTACAGTTTGTTCCTTTGTTTGTGGTTCCCTTAATCTCTTAAAATCAATACTTCCATAGGTTCTGGTAATAGGTCCTACATATGTAATGACCACCTACCAATTTTAGGGATGCGTGATGGAAAAAGTCTTGCTTATAGATGGAATACTATAACAATACGTTGACAAAAATAAACGTTTTATTCTAACATAAATTGTTGTTTACATGAATGTCTTAATTTTACTTCTTGACATTGACACTTGTCACTTACAGGTAATGCCAACACTTAACATAAAAATGTACAATATAGAATTGTCATACCAACACCCTTCTGCAATTCTATATTAGTGTAACTACAAAACTATTACAACTCAATAACATTCAAAAGTTCCCTAAAATAGGTGAATTTAGTTTTTGACAATGATTTTGTAAAAATGTCAGCTTGTTGCTGATCAGACTGTACATACTGTAAAGTAATAAGTTCCTTTTCTAAACAATCTCTAATAAAATGATGTCTAACATCAATATGTTTGGTTCTTTTTGATTCCAATGTAGAAGCCATCTTAATACATGATTGGTTATCTTCATACACATGTACACTATACATGATTTTAAAGATCTCTTCCAACATCTGACTAAAGAACAAACTTTCTGTTACACATGAAGATAATGCCATATATTCGGCTTCTGCACTAGATAGTGACACTACATTTTCCTTCTTAGTTTTCCAACAAATAACATTATTATTAAACTTTATAACATAACCACTAATACCTTTTCTGTCGAGTTGATTGTTTGCAAAATCTGCATCAACATAGGATACTATCTCTATTTCTTTATTTCTACCTTTAAACAAAACTTAAGACATAATTTTCTGTATATTTTAAGTATCTCAAAACATTTTTTAAATTTTTCCAATGTTCTTCGGTGTAATTATTTTGAAATTGACTAAATATTGACATACAAAAACTTAAATCTGGCCTAGAGCCTAACATTACATACATCAGACAACAATCAATTCTCTATAAGGTAACTTAACATTTCCTACCAAATTTTTATCTTTACAAATTGACAGATTAAGTTTAGGTTGCATTGGAATATCTGAAATTTTACAATCACTCATATTAAATCTGTGCAAAAATTTCTTAATTAATTCCTTTTGTGAAATATAAACTTCATTTCCAATTTTACTTATATGTAAACCTAAAAATACCAATTTTTCATCATCAAACTCTTTCAATTTAAATTTTTTCTTTAACTCAGTTTTTATAAAAATAATATTGTCTTCGACTTTTAAAAATATTATCAAATCATCAACATACACAAGTAAAAATGTAAAATCCTTAAAATACAAACAAGGATCCTTCCTAGGTAGTTGAAAACCAAGATCAGTTATGCTTTCATGAAAAAATGTATTCCAACATTTAGGAGCTTCTTTTAGACCATATAGTAATTTACTTAACTTACAAATTAAATTTTTGTCATATCCTTCAAGCCCTTCTGGTTGATACATATACACTGGTTCTTTCAACATTCCATAAAGGAAAGCAGACTTAATATCTAGCTGTTTTACAAAAAGATCATATTCTACATACAATGACAGTAATACTCTAATTGTAGCCATTTTTGCTACTGGTGCATACACATTTTCACTAAAATTACTCTGTTGGAAGCCTCGAGCTACCAATCTAGCTTTCTAACTACCTTTCCGTTCACTTCTTTTTCACGAAAAACCCATTTGGAATCTATTACACTCACATTTTCTGGTTGTTTCACTAAAGTCCATGTCTTGTTTTCTTCCAAAGACTGAAGTTCATCCTGGATTGCTTGTTTCCATTCCATGTCCTTGACTGCTTCAGAGAAGGTTTCAGGAACATCATCAAGAAATGTACCTACTGATAAAGCTGCTAGTAGATTCATCTCTGTATTATACTCACAATCATAGTCTTCAAGATATGTCGGTCTCTTTTTATTTCGTGTACTTCTTCTATTTTCATTAATTATTTCAACTACTTCTTCTTCTTCGTCATGTACATTTTGTTCAGTGATTCTTTCAGAAATATTTTTTACTACATTCTCAGTTTGAATTTGAGCAATTTGTTCATTCTCAGATAGTCTAATTGTATTATTTTCAATTGAATTTTCATCAAAAATTATATTCCGTGCATGGATTATTTTTCTTTCTTCCGGATTCCATAGTCTGTAGCCATTATCTGAATAACCCACCATAATCAGCTTTTCACTACGAGGATCAAGCTTAGATTTCCTATTCTCTTTAGGAATTAAATTATAAGCATTACAACCAAATAATCTTATCTTTTCCATATTTGGCTTTTCACCATACCAAATTTCAGCAGGTGTTTTGTTATCAGGTAAAGTTCGAGTTTCTGTTCTATTAATTAAGTATGCTGCTACTCTGACAGCTTCTCCCCACATGATTTTATCTAAATTTGAATCAAAAATTAAACATCTTGCTTTTTCCATAATGGTTCTGTTAAAACGTTCAGAAACACCATTCTGTTCTGGATTCCTTGGTACTGTACACTGAATTTTAATTCCATTATTTGAACATAATCTTTTAAAAGCTTTTGATGAGTATTCACCCCAATTATCACACCTTATCCTTTCAATTTTTACATTAAATTTAGCAGTAACCATATCAATATATTATTTAAATTTATCTATTACTTCAGATTTTCTCTCAATTAAATAACATATACAAAAATGTAAATAATGGTCTATAAATGTAACAAAATAAGTTTTATTATCATGAGTTATTGGATCTATAGGGCC